CTGCTGTGTGTATCTCTACTAATGCGCTTATCACTCAGTGTTGTGGTTTTGTTTGCTCCTGTCTCTTCTCCACTGGACTATAAGCTCCTTAAAGTCACAGACTGTCTTTCATCTCTATATTCTTAGATCCCAGCAAAGTGCCTGTCTTACAGCAAATATGCAATAAGTTCTTCCTTAAACATTTTTTTCTCACATCTGAGATTCAAAATATCTCAAACATATTTTTCTTTAATAAACTTTTTAGGGGCGCCTTAGTGGCTCAGTCGGTTGGGCGGCCGACTTCAGCTCAGGTCATGATCTCAGGGTCCGTGAGTTGGAGCCCCGCGTCGGGCTCTGTGCTGACAGCTCAGGGCCTGGAGCCTGTTTCAGATTCTGTGACTCCCTCTCTCTGACCCTCCCCCATTCATGCTCTGTCTCTCTCTGTCTCAAAAATGAATAAATGTTAAAAAAAAAATTCATAAACTTTTTAAAAGATTTTTAAATGTTTTTTTTTTTTAATTTATATTTGAGAGAGAGAGAGCACCAGCAGAGGAAGGACAGAGAGAGGCGGGACAGAAAATCTGAAGTGGGTTATTTATGCGCTGACAGCAGCAAGCCCAACGCAGGGCTCGAACTCACAAACTTGAGAGATCTTGCCCTGAGCCAAAGTCCGATGCTCAACTGAGCCACCCAGGCACCCGTCATATACTTTTAAAGTTAAATTTATTGAGGAGTAATTCACATGCAATACAATTAACATTTTAAAATTGTACAGATCAATGAACTTTGCCAAATGTATACAGTCTTGTAAGCACACCACGATTATGATGTGGAACGTTTCCATCACCCTTGAAAGTTCTGTTTGCTCTTCTGCAGTCATTCCCTTACCCCATGTCCAGCCCCTGGAAACCACTGCTCTGATTTTTGTCTGCACAGTTTTGTTAGTGCTATGCTGCCAGTACAAATGGAATCTTATGCATCATGTGCAGGCATACCTCATTTTATTACACTTTGATGTATTCTCCTTCACAAATCATGTATTTTTACAGATCGAAGGTCTGTGGCAGTTCAGCATCTAACAAGTCTATCAGCATCGCTTTTCCATAGCATTTGTTCACTTCCTGACCCTGTGTCACATTTTGGTAATTCCTGCAATATTTCAAACTTTATCATTATTATTATGTTTGTTACGTGGTCAAAGATCTTTGGTATTACTATCGTATTTGTTTTGGGGTGCCACAAATTGTGCCTGTATAAGACAGTGAGCCTACTTGACAAATTGTGTGTTCTCACTGCTCCACTGACCCCCTGTCTCTACCTCTCTGTGGGCCTCCTATTCCCTGAGACACAATATTGAAATTAGGCCACTTAATAACCATATAATGGCCTTGAAGTTTTCAAATGAAGAGTCATTTGATGTGGCAATTTTCACTGTTGCCTTATTTTAAGAAATTGCCCCAGCTGCCCCCACCTTCAGGAAGCACCACCTTGGTCAGTCAGTTGCCACCAACACTGAGGCAAGACTTTCTATCAGTGAAAGGATTAGGACTCGCTGAAAGCTCAGATGATCGTTAACATTTTTTAGCAACAGAGGATTTTTAAATTAGGGCATGTACATTGTTTTTTTATATATAATGCCTTTGCACACTTATTAGACTACAGTGTAGTGTAAAGGTAATTTTTATGCATGTTGGAAAGCCAAAAAATTCATTTGACTCACTTTATTATGATATTCACTTTATTGTGGTCATCTGGAACCAAACCCACAATATCTCCAAGATTTGTTTATACTCCTTTGAGTTTGACTCTTTTCACTGGACATGATGTGTTTGAGATCTGCCCATGTTGCATACATCAGCAGATTATTCCTTTTCGTGTCTAAGCAGTACCCATCTTATGCACGGTCTAAATAAGTGTATCCACTTGGTGGAAGTTATGGTTGTTTCCAGTTTTTAACTCTTGGGGAGGATGGTGCTAAAACGATTCACATGTAGATCTTTATGTGGACACAGATTTTCATTTCTCTTGGGAAAGTACGTATGATTGAGATTTCTGGGCTGTATGGTAAGCGTGTGTTTAATCTTATAATAAAATACTAACCATTTGCAAAGCAATGGTGCCAATATATACTGCTACCAGCAGCATACGTGGTTTTCAGTTCGTCAGTGCTTTTACAACAAATATAATAAGTACGCTAGATTTCTAGTTTTATAGTTGTCACATATTGCTAAGTTACTTAAAAAATATGTAAAAGTAAATGGATAGAGGTGCTGAGATCTGGGGGTTTTTTTGGTTGCCAGAGTAGAAAGATATTGAATAAGGCCCATTCCTCCTAAATAATTCCTCCACTGTTTTAGTTAGCGATACTTGAAATTCCTTCCTTGCAGTGTCATTGTCCCCCCAATACTTTGTTAGAACTCGAAGTCCTCAGGAAGCTGATCTGATAGGATCACTTCATCAAAATTTGTCAGGACCAGTTTCCAAAGCCCTGGCTCTGAGTGGGGTGGGAGAGCCATGCCGAGTATGGAGAATCTGAGTCTAGGGATGAGCGAAGGCTGGGAAGAGTAGAGTTCCGAGATGAGGGAGCCACACAGCAAATGGCCAACAACCAGGCTGACAGGAGACCGGAGCAAGACATCCATTTTATTTCTCTGCCAGCTATGGCAGCAGATTGGGGTTTGAGGACCAGCCGAGCCGCTTTCTAGTCACGTGGCTTTAAGCAAATCCTGTAACCTTTGATTTAAACACCAGATTTTTTTTTTTTTTTCTCTTCCATCTAGATGCTGCGGAAATATGAGTAACTCCATCTGCCTCAAGTGTTTGTTGTGGGCATTGCATTGAGATGTACTGGTAAGTGCAAATATATACTTCATCAATGTCTTTTAAATGGCCAATTTTAAAAACTGCTTTCCCCCCTGAATTCTCTTCTGTAGAACCTTCTTTTGACTTTCATTCTATAACTACCACATCAATGGTCCCCTCTCTCTGATTCATTTAACCTCTTTTCCTGCCCCTTTAGAGCATCCCACATGCTTTACAGTAGTAGTCGGTGGTACATTCATAAATTTCTTCGCACTAAGTCCACCTCAGACCCAGAGAACAAAATTGTGAGTTTTTAAAAAATTTTTTAATGTTTCTTTATTTTTAAGAGAGAGACAGATAGAGCTTGAGCTGGGGAGGGGCAGAGAGAGAGGGAGACACAGAATCTGAAGCAGGCTCCAGGCTCTGAACTGTCAGCACAGAGCCCTATGGAGGGCTTGAACCCACGAACCATGAGATCATGACCTGAGCTGAAGTCGCATGCTTAACTGGCTGAGCCACCCAGGCGCCCCCAAAATCGTGAGGTTTTGAAGGATTTTTTAAATGTTTATTTATTTTCGAGTGTGAGAGAGAGACAGAGGACAAGGGGGGAGGCGTAGAGAGAGAGAGAGGAAGACACAGAATCCGAAGCAGGCTCGAGGCTCTAAGCTGTTAGCACAGAACCCGAGTCAGGGCTCGAACCACAAACCGTGAGATCATAACCTGAGCTGAAGTCTGATGTTTAACCAACTAAGCCACTCAGGCACCCCTAAAATTGTGAGGTTTTAGATGTGACTGAGATGTGCCTTTCAGTTTCAACTAGTGTGACATGACAAAGAATACTCAAATTACATCAAATTGATCTGAGATGCTAGGAGCCTTCTTAATATCTGAGGAGGTGAAAGCATCCTTCTGTGACTCTTCCGTTGTCTCTAACACAAGCATCTTTTCACAGGAGAAGTTCAGTCATAGTCATTTATAAAACGCCTACGTTTTCCTGGAAATTTTCCTATATTCCCTTTCTATTTATAACTCCACTTGTTTTTGCCTTTTTTTTTGTGTTCCAGCATAATGTTTATTTATAAAAAAGATGTCATGTAATCCTTGCAATGCCCTCTACGATAGGAAAGATGAAGTTTTAACGGAGTCAATGACTCGCTAGGGAAAACACATGTCTATGCAATGATGTCATCACTGATGATTCCATGGCCCCTTTGTTCTCTGGGGACCTGCTGTTTCCATACGCTGTCTAGCTCACAGGATGGTTTTGCTTTCAAGTGAAGCCAATCTCAAAATTATGCTAAGTGTGAGGGCCAGAAGTTAACAGGAGTTAAGGAATTTCTGAAGACAATAGCACAAAGGAGATTCCTCTGTTCTTGGCAGCCAGTTCTCCAGACTGAGTGGAATGAGTCAAAATTCTGATTAAGGTCTTATTAAATCTGATGTCAGTAACCAGGACTATTTGGCACCTTGGAGAGGGATTGGCTTAGCTTACTTTTTAGCTACCAAGTGCCCAGTCCAGCCCAGATGTCCACAGAAGGTGGATGTTTACCACTGGATTACTATTTCTCAGTGGTAGAGTCTGCTGAATTCTAAGGGCCCTTTTGGTCGTACAGTCTGCTGGTCGCCCCCCATTATTGTTTCTCTCTTTCTTCCATCATAATGGAACCTCAGAGTTTAAGATGGGCGCCTGGGTGGCCAGAATAAACTACATTGTCAAGCCTCCTTTGTAGCTAGATGTGGCCATGTGACTAAGTTCTGACCAAAGAAATATAATCACAATCATCTAAGAGCAGCCTGTGGGAATCTTCCTCTGAAGACGACAGAGATTACTGTCTGACCTCTTTCCCCCACTTTTTTTTTTTTTTTTGGTCCTTTGCTTTTTCCTTTTGGCTAAAATTTCTGTGTCATGACTGAAGCCAAAACAGCCATCTTAGACCGTGTGGTATCTTGAAACAGAAGCCTCATCTGTGGACTGATAAGATGACAGAAGCCTGGGCTTCGGTGGACTTCATGGAACAAGTCCACCATCTCAGATGTGGATTGTCTACCTCCTGACTTCCATGAGTGTTTTAATCCCTGTTACTTCTGTTCCCTGTTGCTAGCAGCAGAACTTTTTTGATGCAGTAGAGTGCCAGTTGTGGGCACTTTTAGGAGATGAGAGATTAAAGTGGGTGTGGCACTGTTCTTATGGATTCCCAAAGATGGTCTCAGGAAGGAAGCAGTCACTGCCTGTCGTAGGACACAAGTCTGCTGTGCTGGGTCTGTCCTTCCACCTTCACTCAGAACACATGGCAACTGCTCCCAGACATCTGGTCTCCTTATTAGCAGCTCTGTCAGCTGTACCGGTAAGTGCTGGGTGGGCCAGGCACATCTAGATGCGTATATCGTTACCTATTTGTGGCAATTTTGTTTTGCTTTAACTTTAAAAGATTTCAGATGCAGGTATGTTGTGACAGGCAGCAAGCTTCCACTGCTCTAGTCCAACCCCATTCTTGAGGTAGTGAGGCAATGAGTCCCAACATGTTTTGCTAAATTAATGACATGCTCAAGAATACAGTACCCAGAATAATGGCAAGAAGACCAATCTAAGCAGTTGGCACCTGGGTTCTAGTCCTGGCACCAATGATAGAAATGTACTATTGAGCAAGCTCCTGAACTGCTCTGGTTCTCAGGTTTTATAAATGTGAAATGGTGCAGTGGGTTACATGATTTCTAAGATCCCTTTTGGTCATAGAGTCAGCTAGTTGTCCCCCGTTTCCTTTTCTCTCTTTCTTCCATAATAATAGAAACATCAGAGTTCTATTATCATTCTGTGATAATTTCTATCATCATTAGATAGATGAGGCTACCATATAATCTCATTTCTGTCTCTAAAAGTGTTCATGGGGCATCTGGGTGACTCAGTTGGTTGAGTGTCCAACTTCGGCTCAGGTCATGATCTCATGGTTCGTGAGTTTGAGCCCCACATTGATCTCACTGCTGTCAGCACTCCTCCACGCATGGAGCCTGCTTCAGATCCTCTGTCTCTCTCTCGCTGTCCCTCCCCTGCTTGTGCTTTCTCTCTCTCTCTCATAAATAAATAAACCTTTTAAAAAAAGTATTCAACTCATCTACTGAAAGTACATACAGTAAAAAAAAATTACAGTATTTACATTAGAAGAAATAAAAGCAAATTCTGTCCTCATCTTTGGATATATATTTTAATGTCAACATTAGTAAGAACAAGAAATAGCATCTTAAGTGTCCTTTGGCAATGAAATTTGACCATGTTTTTTCTGACTGAAACTTTAAAGACAATGACAACAATGAACAGACTCCTTCCAGGTGTAACATGGGAGTGGGGGCGGTGGAAGCCTGGGAAGCAGGTGCGGGCGGGTCTGAGTCTGACTGCCCCACTGCCAGCTCTCTGACCCTGGCCAATCAACCTTTCTTTGGTTTAGGGGTTTCCTCAAAATAATTTTCTAACAACTGGCTGGCAACACCGAACCCAAATTTAAACACTCCCTTGGAATACACTGATTTGGGGACCAGCTCTCCAGGTGATTGGTCCTCCTGACCTGCCAGTTCTAGATGGCTCCCCTTAGCCCTCCAGGTGGCAGGTGGGTTCTCGGCTTTTCTCAGCACAGACTTCATGAATAGCAAAGGGGGCTTGGCTTAGATAAGCATGGGTCAACCCTCACAGACCATCAGAATTATCAAGGTAGCTTCAAAAATGTAGAGATGCCCAGGCTTGCCTTGGAGAACAGATATAACTGGTCTAAGGGTGGTGCTCAGACATCAGTAGAGAAGTTTTCCAGGCTCCCTGAGTGATTATTTTGTGCAGGTAGGCTTGAGTCCCATTAGCTTAGGTCTACTAAGCTTAGGTCACCTCAAGGCACATGGTGGCTTTCCAGTAGGACAGAAGTGGGAGGAATATCACTGAGCCAATCACAGAGCTCAGACAATGGCCATATTGTGAAAGCCCATTATTTATTTGCTGCAATCCTCACCTTAGTTCCAGTGTAGAAATGGGAATGAGCATCAGGCACTGCTAGAAAATGCAAGACCAGACATTTCAACTTCATTTTCATAGGTAATAATAAAAATAGCAAAGGCACAAGACTTCATTTCAAAAGAGTGCTAATAAAAACACAACCTCAATACTTGGTTTCTTACACTTATGTGGTGAGCATGGCCTTAAGTGTTCCTGACATCAGAGAACAGAAGCTTTTATTTTGGGGGCAGTTAGTGGTTTTGTTCAAAGCTATTGCTACCAGGAAAAAACCAAAAATCTAAGAAAAGAAGCCATTCAATAAATAAAACTACACTTAAAAAAAAAAAAACAAAAACTAGACCATGTGTGAAAGTTTGAAATGATTTTCTCAATTTAAACACTGAGTGAGGATTTAATGTACTTTCAGCCTGATGAGTCCAGCACCCGGGCAGCATTAGACAGGGGGAGGATGGAGAAAATTGTTTAAGCATTTCCCAGATGCTTTTTGTATCACATGCAGTGTTATGTATTCAGCCACCCATGGCCAAGCTTTCAGGAGAGCCAAGGAACAACAATGCCATCCTTTTCCCTTTGAATAACTGCCTGTCACACAGTGCAAATGTGACCTCTTCAGTAGGTTTTCACACTTTGCAAAATTCTGGGTGGGGGGTGGGGATGGGGAGGAAGGATACATCTCTTTCTCTTAAAAAATCTGTATAGGGGCGCCTGGGTGGCGCAGTCAGTTAAGCGTCCGGCTTCAGCCAGGTCACGATCTCGCGGTCCGGGAGTTTGAGCCCCGCGTCGGGCTCTGGGCTGATGGCTCAGAGCCTGGAGCCTGTTTCCGATTCTGTGTCTCTCCCTCTCTCTGCCCCTCCCCTGTTCATGCTCTGTCTCTCTCTGTCCCAAAAATAAATAAAAATTAAAAAAAAAAAAATCTGTATAGAGGGGCATCTGGGTGGCTCCAATGGTTAAGTGACCAATTCTTGATTTCGTCTCGGGTCATGATCTCGCAGTTCGGTTCGTGAGATCGAGCCCTGCATCGGGCTCTGCACTGACAGCTCAGAGCCTGCTTGGGATTCTCTCTCTCTCTCTCTCTCTCTCTGTGTGTCCCTGGCATGTCATTCAGCCATCTGACTTTGCTCAATCATCGTTAAGATATTTTCCCATCATGACTTCCTAACACCAGTCATTTTCCTCTTTGCATGCCACTGTTGTGAGTGCCACAAGATAGACCCTCTGAGTCTCTTACCTGGATTCTGGCCCACCCCTCACCCCGTCTCCCTTTATTTTTATTTATTTTTTAAAGGTTATTTACTTACTTAGAGAGAGACAGAAAGCACAAATGGAGGAGGGACAGAGAGAGACACAGAATCCAAAGCAGGCTCCAGGCTCTGAGCTGTCAGCACAGAGCCCAAAGCGGGGCTTGAACTCATGGACCTTGAGATCATGGCCTGAGCTGAAGTTGGACACTTAACCTACTGAGTCATCCAGGCACCGCCCCCCCCCCCCCCCAGTCTCCTTGCTTGTAGGCTGTCTTCCTAAGAAGTTACTGTGAGCCTGATTGTCAGATTAGGCTTTTTGCAACAAGATTTTTATCATTCTTCTGTGGTTTTAATATACCAGAAAGACCATGAGCTTAGGTATCAGAAAGCCGAGCTCAGATCTGGGTTCCAAAATTAACAGGTAAATCACCTGACTTCTCTGAGCCTCAATTCCTTCTCTCTAGCATAGAGATAAGAATTAAATGTCATGGACTGATGTATGTAAAATGCTTTGCGCAATGACTGGGATACGCCCTGTCAATTATTTGCACAGTAATGATTATATTTAAAGGATTAAATTCCAGAATCTCAGCTACTTCCAAACTCCAATACTATTCCATCGTGTTCACAAAGTTTCTGCTGAAACAACTCTGCTTTATTTATTGCCCAGGACATTTCTTTTCTCTTTGCTATTTTTTTCAACTTCTCGTTTTGAATCTTGTGCTTGGAATGTTAACTGCTAGTCCTTTAAAATCTTCCTCCTCCAGAAATTCTTTAGGGACCACTTCAGCATACACTGCTTTCTCCCTTGCACAAACTTGCAACGATTCTTATTGTTGGGAGACACCTCTCCAGTGGATCTCTCCTGTTTCTGCAGAGGCACCAAATGCTTTTATTTTAGAGGATTGTTTCCAGGGAGTTTGTATACTAGCGGCCTAAGAACCAAAGGTAATTTCTCCCTCCAGAGCAAAGGGCAAGTTTGTTTACTGTCTAGTGTAACAAAGATAATGCCTCCTTTCAGGGCAAAAGTCAGGCAGGCTGACTGCCCTTAGAAAAGACATGGGTTCCCCAAGCTCAGTTCAGTTTCCTCAGTGCAACCCACTGTGTTTGCAAGGGTCACTGGGTCTTCTTCGCATTACCCCGTGGGAACTGGGGCCTGGAGAACCAGGGCAAATAATGATACTCTGGCTACTGGTATTGCTGTCAGTAACATAGTCCTTTGTCTCTGGTTCCTCGTGTGTTCTGCCAGCATCCTGTGAATCTGTAGTATGTTAACTTGTTAGCTTGCAAGTAGGATACAATTTCAGATCCTAAAATAGTTCTTGACGACTATTATTGTTATTGTTATTATTTGGTTGCTATGGCTCTTAAATATTTTTTCATAACAATCTACTCTTTCCCCCCTTTTTTCTTGTCATGGGGTTTTGGAGAGACTGATTTATGGAGAAACTGGTTTGTGGAGAAATTGCTTTTTTTATGCAGAATGTTCTGAATCATGGGTTGAACTGATTGCTTCCTGCAATGTCTTTTGTCTTGTTTCTGTATATCATGATTCCCCTCCGCCCCCCAATGATTTTTTATACTGGTCTGTCAGTTTCCAATTATACACTGTCTCCAGACTTACTCTTGAGTCTTTTGACTTTGGTCTTTGTTACTACATTTATGCTTTTTATGGACAGGACCTCTTTTGATTTGCTTTTTTAAAAAAATTCCTCACAGTTTCTAGTGAACATCATGAATGTTTGCTGAATGAATGATCCAGATCAAAACGATTAAAGGAGTCTACTCACATAATGGCCATCCTTTCCCTCTTTTCCACCAGAGGGCGCATTCCACTCCATATTGGATTTAGGAACATTTCCAAAGTCTGGAATTCTGTCTGCCTTGAATACCTGGGTATCTGTGCTTCTTAAATGTAGCTGAATGAAGTAGTAAGTGTATAAAAATGCTTTATCAAATGAAACCTTGGTCTGGTTACACTTATCCTACACAGGAGCTCCAACTGGGACCAATAAAACCTCTTCTGACTATGATTTCATCACTACTGCATTTCAGTGTACTCCGTAATCAGTTTGAAGGCCATGACCAAATCCTGAAAAATGAGTTCCTAATGACTTTTCACATTTTCCAGCAACCTTCAAATTTATGTCAGTATACACTTACCAACTGTCCACACACAGAGCGGTGTTCTGATTAGGAATTCTGGACCTGCTGCTACTTTGATAGTTACCAAATAAATAGATTCTGAGTCCCGAGGCGGTAAGGATGACTGAAACAGTATTGAATCTTATAGAAATGAAGTCACAAAGGGCTGCTTTCTTCACTCTTAAGTGAATGTGTTTCCTTTTATCTTTCATAGTTGCTCAAGGAGGTCAGAGCTAACTGAACAATCGACTCCCATCAGCATTTGGCTTTTATCAAATCTGAATGGTTCATCCTAGGAAGATGTTGTATTTGGATGCAAATTTTTTGTTTTAAGCTTCATAGCCTTCCAGGCAACCACATTGGTTGAGGTCACAAGAAGTTGAACTTGCCACCTCGGGTGGGAGGATAAATGTGATGCAATTACTGTTTTCTGCTCCACAGCTGCTCACACGCCGAAAGGGAGAGATCGTTTCAGGGCAAGTGAGAGGTCTGGATGAGGTGCGCACAAGCCTGGCGACGTCTCTGGAATAGTTCTTTATGAAGAAGTCAAGAAGGCAGGAACACAATATACCCCTTCTCCCTTCCTGTAGGGATGTCTTTGGTCCCTGGATTCTTTAGCTTTGCTAGTACAGAGAGGGTAGTTGCTTACTGCTTCTCATTTTTAATTTTAAAACATTTTGAAGCCATAATCTCTTAAGAGATGTAAGTGGGCCAGTGAAATCCCTTCAGGTGTCCTGGGTGTTCCTTGACAGAGTTTTGAGGGCAAGGCCTCATCTGAATTGTCTTTGTATCCACTGCTCTGAGTTTGTCACTGTGCACACACATGGAAGGTGCTCATCAACTGTATTTTGACTTCGTGCACAGGGTTCTAAAGGAGAGGATTCAGACACACTGTTTTTGATGTGACTTCTTGACTGTTCAGATACAATGCCTCTCTGCCTCTGAGAATCAGTGTAGGCAGAATACTACCTCCTCTCTCCACACTCTTATCTCAAAGGGCTTCTTCTCCCAAGACCCTTGAAGTCCACTCTGGGTACAGCCCACACACAGCCCCAAGAACTGGACCAACTGTGCACATTCAGCCTGGGTTTTTCTTTCCTTCCCCTAGAGGTACATCAGCAAGAACTTGCAGTGGAAACACCTTCACCTATAGCAGGAGTGCTGGTTAGGTTAACGCCAAGAAAATCAATGAGGAGGCTGCTTTTGCCTGTTTATAAATTAGGGACGACCCTGTAATCTGAACTCCTTCCTGAAATTCACACATTTTAAGTTTATCCCTGACCAGAACCTTGCAGCAGCCTTGGGGCAAGAATTTCTATAGGCGGTTGGTTAATGGACACAAAGAGAGTTTATGTCACCTCCTCACTTGTTCTCCCATGTTGTCGCCTCTCAGACATTTCTGGGAATCAGATGGATGAATGACACATTTTTCAAAAACTCACCTGCAACTCAACTTCTGGCTCTCCATTCTGGAACTTTGACCTCCGACGCCAGTGCTCGTGCTCACCGCTAGATCGCGCTGTCGGACAAGGAATCTGAAGCTCTGGAACCTCCGGGAGCCCAGGAGTCGAAGGGAGAAGAGGTGGGCGAGCAGATGATAGAGTGAGGAAGGGTGAGCCCAGGGTATAACCTGAGGAATAAAAGACACACAAAGCATCTAAAGTGAATAAATTGAACCATCTCTGCCTCACTCGATAAATGTCAATTTGTTGCAAACATTAAGGGATTCCAAGGGGCATCAAGAACTGGACGCTCTGCAAAAGGGGGCAGATTGGAAGAGGGTTTACACGTTTTTTTTTTTTACCGATTTGTCCCCTTACCATACTGGGAGTCTAGCTTGCAGAAGGGCCTCCAGAGGCCAAACCGTGCAGGTGTCTTGCTGGAAGTCCCTCCCGAGGTGCCTCTTTGCATAACCTTGAGTTGCACTCCTGTCTCGTGAAAATGGGTGTTTTTGGATTAGCTTGTGGATGTATGTCTGTGTACTCCCCGAACCAGTGTTCCTTCCTTCTTTTTCCTCTCAACCTATTTTGGAAGTATTTCGTAGAGATTCTTTTTTCTGAGGGACCAAGGGTGTTTGCGGCCAGTGGTTTGTTACTGACAGACCTTTGCAGTAACTATTTTCAAATGCATTAAATCTAAGTCTGTTAATGAGAATGCCTTAAGCAAGAGAGGATGGCCACAGGGGTCCCCAGGATGTCACTTTGGGTTGGAGAGCAGTGCAATGTGAGTGCTTTTGCGGGGGGAGGGGGAGGAGGGGAGGGGCGTGCTCCCGCCTCTGGAAAAGGCAGCCCTTGGCTCCCCAGCAGGTGACTGACTGTTCAACTCTGCATTTGCAGCTCTGAGCCAAATCAACTGGGAAGAACTCTTTTAAGAGAGAGAAACAAACCATAAGAGACTATTAATAATAGAGAACAAACTGAGGGCTGATGGAGGGAGGTGGGTGAGGGATGGGCTAGATGGGTGATGGGTATTAAGGAGGACCCTTGTTGGGATGAGCCCTGGGTGTTGTATGTAAATGATGAATCACTGAATTCTACTCTTGAAACCAATATTGCACTGTATTTAACTAACATTTAAATAACAATTAAAAAAAATAAAATCAGTAAAACCAGAGTTACACTGCTCCCCGGTGTACAACTTTGCCATCACAAATTAAACACAACAAAAAGTACATAAAGAAAGAAAAGCGCGCCTACACACACACACACACACACACACACACACACACACACACACACCTGAGCGAAATGCAAACCCCAGCCAGCCTTGGCAGGCCAGCGAGGCGGCAGCTTTCCTTTTCTAGACAGTGGGTGTCGGTTTCCCAAGGGGCGTCCCTGGCGGTTCTAAGTCCCTGTGCGGGCCAGGGTGTCCGCTGCGAGCAGCGCAGCGCGACTGGGTGACCGGCCTGCGGCTGCCGGGACTTATCTGCCTCTTGGCTCTGTCCTTGTGTCTGCCACCAGCCCACTTGCGTCTGTAAGAAGGAATTTGAGTGAGGGTGCTGGTAGAGGGCTGGCCAGCGAGCGAAGGACCGCTCTCCACCGGCTTGGTATAAGAGCTCACTGGTACTCAGCTGATGACCCCGTTCCGCGTAGTGCACGTCGGGTCATTCACGTCCAGGACGCGCTTCTGCCCTAGGGGTTTGCGCCGGACACCCGGGTTGTGAGAGTTTGAAGGGGGAAAACGCCTGGGCACTGTGCGCGTGTGTGGGCTCTTTGTGACAGTTGCCCAGCGGGTTTTCGAGTGGGCCGTGTGTACTCAGAGAATGTGCAGAGGTGGAGATTCCCATTTTTCTCCATTCTTTCCCTCCAACCTTCTCTCTGGCTTCCTCTGGCTTTAGCTGGAGGCAGCTGTGAGTGGGGCGGAATGGAGGGGGGCGCTCTGCAAGTTCTTGTCATTCTAAAGGCAAGTTCAGAGGCTATCACGCCTGTTGGACGGAAGGCCAGATTTGCAAACGTCAGTCAAATAGGGAAGAGAGGTTTACATTGGCGACAAGACCTCCCCTTTTACTATTGCTGGCGGTCAATTCCAGGGGCATAGCTCCCGCGTTCCCCTCCGGGCCCCCTCCCCCATCCAGGGTGCTCACCCTTTCAGGGTTAACCTCTGGGCTTCAAAAGGCCAAAAGTGCAGAGCTTGTGACCAGGGCACAGACGTGTGTAATCTGAACCTCTCCTGGAGCGTTTTTCTGATGCTACAGTGTTAGAGCCCCGCGCTTCCTCCCGTGCATCTAGTACAATTTGGCAACCCTGAGTGCCAGGTTTCCTGCTCTAGGCCAAGGGGGTGGAGCCGATTGGGGGGAGGGGGCGGTAAAAAGGGGAAGATGCTGGCAGAACGTCAGCTCTCATTTGGCGTCCATCTCTTTGGTAGTTGGGGGAAATTTACTTTCATTCGTCTCGACCCCGCGGGGTTGGAAGGCAGAGTTTCTGGTCCAAAGCCTCCGCTGGGGGCCAGGTTATGCTGTGGTCCGGATGCCAAATTTCCAACGTGATTGCAACTTGTTCCCTAGCGGCTTCTTGTGCTGAGGACCCCAAGGTTTCATTGCGTCCCTTGCCCTCTGTCTTGGCTCAAATTAAGCCTCTTAGTTCCGTCCCGAAGCATTAGCGAAGTAAGACAGGACTGGGAAAGCCATCCCGTCGCTGAGCCCCGCGAGGGCGGCTGTACGGGTTTCCAATCGGCCGCTCAGAGATTGAAAAAGACAGAAGGCGCGCCGCGTGCACAGACAGTTAGTTAATGGAAACCCTGTAAATCGGTTTTAAGTGCACCCAGGACGGAGGGGGAGGGAAGTGTAGGTGGTGATGATGGGGGATGGGACTAGGGTGGGGTGGGGTCGGTCACACATTCTTGCAGTTCTGAAACTAAGAGTCGCTTCCCTCCCTCCCATTGTTCTTAATTTAGGAAAATAAATTCATTAAAGAAAATCGCAAGGATAGGGAAACCCGAGCTCCCCAGCCCGCCCCAAGCAGAAGAGTGCGCGGCTTCCCTTGGCAGGGAACCCGGCTGCGGCTGTCCCCCTCCCCGCTTCCTCCCTCTTCCCCCGCTCCCTGTATTCCCCCCCCCCCTTCCCGGCGGGGCATTGCTACTACGGGGATCGCCACCTCACGCCGAAGGAATGCTGGAAGTATGCACACGTTCCCAAAAGTAGACCTCCTTCACCGCCGGAGGAGCATACATCACCCCGTGGCAGCCGTCCACCTTCTCAGGCGTTTCGTAACCGAGTAAACTGAGAGCCGGGAACAGCCCTCTATTAAGTAGCCCGCGGCGCGGAGCCTCTTCCCACTCGACCAAGGCGAGCCGTCGCAGACGCGTCCGCGCGCGGGCAGCTGCGGTCCCGGGCAGTCTCCGCCCGTCCGGCGGCGCCTGCGGCTCCCGCCGGGACACTCCAACACTTCACAACCTTGGTGGCCTTGCCGCTGCCCGCCTCCCGGCAGCCGCCAGGTGCTCCTGGAGCGCGGCGCCAATTGCCTGGGCGTGCGGAGGGTCACGCCGAGCGCAGCCTTCTACGACGCCGGGAAGCCGCTGTCGCCGCCGCTACCTCGGACACCACCGCCCCAGGTTAGTCCGGCTTCTAGCCCTTTCCCCTTACCCCGTCCCTCACAAAGATAACTAGGGAACCTTGTTTCTAGCCCGTTCCTTGCGCTGCCCTAAGTCCCTAGGGACCGCGCGCGAGACCCGTTTGGACTGGTCAGAGTGGAGCAGTGCCTGGGATTTGCCGGGTGCCCTGGGGTTCTGTGATTCATTTTATCTTTGCGGGACAAAGAGTTGTAGCTTCTCCTACGAGTTGATGCAGGGCGGCCGTGTGTGCGTGAAGCACCCTGTTCCGCGTTTCTGCTCGTAGAGAGATTTCATCTATAGATGCTGTCGACTTCCAGGAAGGGCGGCCCAGGTTCTGGGGCCACCGGCCGCTCGCTGCCTCTTGGTCGGAGCTTTCCCGGGGTGCGGTGGTGCAGCCGCGCCGCTGGGAAGGTATTTTAGTGACGCACGGCGCGGAATTCTTTGGCGGGCCGGCTGAGTGCTCTGCAGCTCGTCGAAGCTGCGCGGGCGTGTGTGGCATCTTGAGAGATTCCTCGTCGAGTGTTTTGGCTCCTCGGCTTTTCAAAGCATCTGCGATGATGGTGGGTTAATCCGGCTCTAGGAGACGCAGCCTTGGCCGACTTCCTCAACTTCTCGAGAAAGCTCGCCCTTCCCGACCTCTTCCCGAGTGCCTTGGTCGAGGGGTCCGTGGAACCTTCGAAGTAGTTTCCGTCGCAAATCCTAGATAGTGTATAAAGATCAGAGAGCGTGGGGCGCCGGGTTCATTTATGGAGCGGAGACGCGAAGACAGGGAGCAAAAGAGGTACCCCAAATCGAGGGTCCTTGGGCACCTTCGGGTGACCCTTGCGGGGCGTTCCAGGACCCCCTTTCTGTCCCCCTCCCGCCGCAGCGCGGACTACGTAACCTAAAGTATGCAGGAGTACTGGGGAAGGATGGAGCAAGAAAGGAAAGGAGCGCTAAACTCGCCCTTGGCTAACTAATGTCAAGGTCGCAGTGGGTCAAAGAGGAGGTAGGTGACGCGCACGGATCTGGAGGAACCCCGTGGGTGAGGGGAGGTGTAATTTTCTTTTTTAACTGCACTCAGGAGTTAAAGAATTGGTCTTTTCCAGGAGAGTGGGAGGGGGGCAGTGGGTGGAAGGAGACCAGTTTCTTAAGACCTACCCCCTCCCCCTCCCCTCTCCCCGCACCCGCTCCTCCGCAACTGACTCATTTTCATTCATGAGGGTGAAGTGAGGGAATCCTTGCGGACACGTAGGGGCGGCCGCTTTCAGACATTTATGTCTGAGGACGCTCAATGAAGCACCGACCTTAGCGTTCACGTAAATGTTTTGGCTAAAAGGAGAGAAAACTTTTTTTTAAACATATGGACGGAATGCCTGGCGGGCTGGTAGAACTGACTGTACGTTCCGATATCCCGACGCGACGTGATTCATTCTTGCCGCTGAGTCAGGCAGCCAATAGGTGGCGCTCTCGACCCAGACAAAAGCGCTTCCACTTCTCAGGGTTTTTTTGTGTGTGTGAAGAGTTCAGGAATTAAAAAAAAAAAGTCTGAACGCAGCTTTTTGATGGTTGGGTTGTCAATCAGCCTTTAACTCTTCGCGAGCACGACTGCCAACTGAATTGGAAATTATTGTAGCAAAGTTAAGGCCAGCTGATGGGAAC